TATTATTATTGTTATTGTTATTATTGTTATTATTTTTATTGTTATTATTATTGTTGTTGTTGTTGTTGTTGTTGTTGTTGTTGTTGTTGTTGTTTATAATTTGTACAATTAACCTCCATGTAGTTCGACCCCGGTCTTGCCGGGTTATTTATTACTTCGACACTCCTGCATTTGGGAGAAGACATTAATCTTTTAGTCGTGTCATGTGTGAATATATTATAATAAAAAAAAGGTCATATATATGTGTGTTTTTTTTTTAATGTATGTTTTGTAAATGTTAAAAATCAAAAAGAAAAATGAGTTTAATGTTTTAATTTGTATATAGTCAAGTGTCTTAAGGACAAATAAAATCATGTTGTATTTCCCATGAAAATGTAAGAACATGTTTCTACATATATTTTTGGGATTTAATAACTGATTTATTAAAGCCTTAAAAATTTGACTAATGTTTTAATTTTTTAAATCACATCAAATCATGAATCAGTTTACCTTAGGTAGGACATGTTAAGGGTGGTAATACCTTCCCTACTTATAACCAGTCTATTACCTTCAAATCTCTAACAACAACCAGTACACTTAGGTTTTCTAATAACCTTTAATTAAATACTAAATGACGACTCTCAAATCAAACAAATAATGAAAAATTGTCATTGATGCCATGCTGAGATGTGCAATAGCATGGCTATTCCACTAGGGACAATGTTATTTTCGACATTATTGGATCAAGCTTTATGTTTTCAATTTATTTAAGTTTTTTGAGTTTTGCCTTATTTTATTTTTGCTTCATCCATACATTGCATAAAATTATTTCATGCATAACATGTTTAATTTTGAAAAGCACGCACAAGCTTTAGGTTAGGTGGGAGACTAGAAGCTTACCTTATGACTTTTAGTCAAGGTTTAAATTTGTATAAACCCCAACTCATCATTGAGTGTTTAGACTAGTAACAGTTGGTATATATGCCATTTTAAAGCCTACAGAGCCCCTATATTGCCTTCAAGAGGGTGATCATTGTGACAATGAAATATCTCTTTTTAGAGACCAAGTAGTAAACCTACCCTATATTTTATGTAAAAATATTAGAACTTGCCTTTAGGATATTGACATGACTAAAAGATTGATTTCTTCTTCCAAGTGCAGGAGTGTTGAAGTAATAAATAACCCAACAAGACCGGGGTCAAACCATAGGGAGGTTAATTGTATAAATTATAAATGACAGTAATACAACAACAACAACAACAACAACAACAACAACAATAATAAATAAAAAGATGGAAAAGAAGATGATAATGATGAGAACTTTGAGATGGAATATTAATGTAAGGATTAAACAATGATAATAATAAATGTCAAGGTTAGAGGTTCCACTAATGGTATGTCAAACAAGTATAGTATAAACTTTTATTATTCAATTGGAAACCACACACAAAGGAGGTTTTAGTCAAATTATAAATTGTTAACAAGATCACATTAGTTATCTTATTCGATTAATGCTAATACTTATAAATCTCGTCAGACATTCATGATTATAACTTATGTTAAAAACGAATCAAGTTCCTTTCATAACTCAAGTGTTAGTTATACCATATAGTATGGGTTATGAGAGTGTCAAGTATTTGTTGTACTAAGTGTTATACAACATAAATCTAGATTAGTCATTTAACAAGCAAAGTATTAAAGAGTGAATAAGATTACAAATATAAAACATGTTAGTATCAAACATTATAGTCCATATTAAGTTTACACTATACTTATTCTTACACCATTAGTGTAACCTTTTCATCTTGACATAATACACTTAGCTAAACATAATGAAAGAAAGAAAAATAAATAAATAAAATAATAACATAAATAAGATAAAAGTTAACTAAGTAAATGAAAGGAAATGAAAGGCATAAACTTCATATTAATGAAAGTAAAGCATAAACATTACAAAAAATACAAAGAGAGAAAGCAAAAGCATGATCTTGAACTGGAAACTAAGATGCCTAAATGCATGGCAAAACCATTCCCTAACAGCCATCCCCAACTCTTCCCCATACACTCTTAGACATACCAACCCTCCCTCCTCTTAGCTGCTTACCTCTCAGCCGCCGTGAATAAGAGCTGATGGTCCATTTCGGATTATAGAGAAGGTGAATGATAATGCGTATAAGGTAGATCTTCCTGGTGATTACAATGTATCAGCTACTTTTAATGTGAAAGACTTGACTCCATACTTGGATGATGACGACGATTATGATTTGAGGACAAATCATTATCAACCCGGGGCTGATGATGTGCATCATGGGAATGATAATCCATCTCGTAAAGGTAAATCAAATATGCAAGAGGATTCAGATGGTCCAATGACAAGAGCGAGAGCGAAACAACTACAAAGGACCTTGACGAGTCAGATTGGAATGATTGAAGCTGCGTCGGAATTAAAATTTGGCAATCAGTTTCAAATTGGTTCAGGGTGCTTATTTGCCTACAATTGGAGCTTAAAGATGGGAAGAGCCCTTAATGGTTCTTTTGATGCTGGACTACTTGAATTTGGGTTGATAATGCAAATAAGTTAAGAAATTGATGCTGTTTACGTCAGAACAGTAGTTAAATTTGAACCGAATTTGAAGTCATCCATTGCATGTGAAAACAAGACTAATCTAGGTGGATTTCAAGTTCAGAACGTGATCTTTCCAGATTGTCCAACCATGATTGCATTGGACTTTTGTGCAAGAAGTTATAGCCATTTTAAATTCGGTCTATTTATGTTTCAATTAAAGTCAGAAAATGTGTGCTAGTGTAATTTGTCTGGTTACTTTGTCAAAGTCCAAGTTTTGGGCTTGATTTCTGTCATGTTGAATTTTCCTAAGTGTGGAGGGATGTTCCATTATAAATATGGCATCAGAATATGTAATAAACAACTTTTGGCCAATATTTGAACTTAATTCCGAGAATTAAGAGTTATTCTTCCAAATTGATTTGTGAAGAACCCTACTGACTTATCACTCTTCAATCACAAAGAGTGTGGCGTCAAAATCCTAGATTGATCTTTGTGGCGTCCAGATCGACTTATCAAAGTATCACTCTAGTTTATCCTCCATTTTTATTTACCTTAAAAATACTATAATCTAGCCTAAACACCAGAAGAAAGACAATACAACCAGACCCATCCTTCATCCATTTTCGTCAGATTCATTGTTGCCGATTTTTGAATCATTCACGGCACAACAAACCCTTTCATCAATAGCAAAGGAATCAAATCCATTGGAGTTAAAGGGTTAAATCCATACACAATTTCAAATGGTGAAAATTCAATAGTAGAGTGCACACTACAATTATATTCAAACTCTATAAATGGCAAACAATCCTCCCAATTCTTTAAGTTCTTTTGAATGACAACACGCAAAAGTTGTGTTAAGGTCCTATTAACTACTTCGGTTTGTCCATCTGTTTGGGGGTGACAAGTAGTTGAAAACAACAGTTTAGTACCTATTTTTCCCCATAACACCTTCCAAAAATAGCTAAGGAACTTGACATCTCTATCA